TTTTTCCTCTTTGGGAAAAAAAGGCTGCAGCCTTCCAGAAACCTTTGTGAAAACTGTTTGCAACAGAACAGATCTGCAAGAATCACTTCAACAGCCTGGAACAGAGTCATCACCTGGCAAGAGTGGGGTGGAGCCTGCCCCAAGCCTTTCTGAACTTCAGCACAGCTGGGGAAAGGAATGGAGGAAATATCCTAGCATATTTGCTCTAAGCACTACCACATTTGGAGAAGGCACTTGCCCATGCTCTGACACAGAAATGTTCTGAGGGTCTCCACCTCCCATGAACTGGGCAGCATCAGCAGCAGAGAAGTTATCCAGGCTCACAGCAGTCACATATGGATTCTCCCTGCTGCCCCAGGGCTGAGCACTGCTGCCCTGGCTATGCCTTCTCTCCCCTGAGCTGGCAGGCCAGTGTCTGCCTGGCTGCAGCCTCTGGCCCTCTCAGTCTGCTGGCTGGTGTCTCCGAAGTGGCAGGAGAGATCCCACATTGCTGCAACTTCGCAGGCAGGAAGCTTAAGAGGCTGCCAAGTTGTGCATGGACACAGCCCAGCTGGCAGCAGAAACGGACGTTTCCATGGGCCGGCGCATAGCTGTGCTGCGTGGGGCTAGCAGGGGGAACTGCTCCTGGGGCGAGGCTGGCTAGGGCCAGCAGAAGCTTCTGCAGAGCTTGGAGACCTTTGCAGCAGGGCTGGGGCTGTCATAAGGGTCAAGCAGCACTAGCAGCTCCCAAGGAACCGAAAGAACAGGCAGAACTCCCAGTGGCACAGGGTGGGAGGGCACCACCCCACCCACATGCCAGGCCTGCAGGTTGCAGATGTTCCTTGGGGCCAGGCTTCTGCCTGCGTCTGATGGGACCTAGCGGGGCCCAGAAGGCACCGCCAGCTTGCACCTCAGATCCCTGCTCTTCTAGTCCCTAACCAGGTGAAAAATCAGAGCAGCACCCAAATGCCTCCTCTCGCCATGCAAGGAGGCCAAAGCCACCCAAGCACTGGGGAGAAGCTCCTGACGACTCATAAACTGCTGGCCCAGCCCCTCAGCAGGAGATGCTGAGCTTCCAGCCCCTTTGTTTTGCAATAAATCTAGATGATAAGAAAGCCCCTGTTTGATTTAGCTATGACTTTTATCTTCCTGCAGGTCAGGTACCCGGTGGCTGGTCCCGGAGCTGGGGGGGCCTCCTCACGGCAGAGCAGGAGGTCCAACACCGCCAAGGGAGGCACCGAGGTGGTGTGGGACAGGGCTGCGAGCTGCGGCCGGGCCGGGCCGCCCCCTCAGCGCGCTCCTCGGCTGGGGCCC